CAGGGGCTTCCTCCCAGCTCCTGGTTCGATTCCTCCAGCTCCCAGTTCGATCCCCCAGCTCCCAGTCATTCCCCTAGCTCCCCGATCATTCCCCGCAGCCCCTGTGGCTTTTCCCAGGGCTGCCAGCTCAAGCCACAGCTTGTCTGGGTGCTCCCCTGGTTGACCCCCACACTGGAGTGAGGTACTCAGTGCTGGCAGCCCCGGGAGAAGCTGTGGGGGCTGGGGAAAATGATTGGGAACTGAGGGGAATGATCAGGGAGCTGGGGGATCGAACCAGGAACTGGGGAATTGAACTGGGAGCTGGGTAGAAGCCCCTGTTCATTCCCCCAGCTCGTGTTCGATCCCCTAGCTCACCAATCAATCCCCCAGCCCCCGCTGCTTCTCCTGGGGCTGCCAGCACTGCCTGCCTCATCCCGGTGGGGGGGCAGCTAGGGGAGCAGCCAGCAAGCCACGGCTTCTCCTAGGGCTGCCGGCTCAAGCTGGGACTTGTCCGGCTGCTCCCTCAGCTGCTCCCGCCGGCACTGTCGAGTGCCTGCCTGTACAGTCTATGTTCAAATCTCTGAATCTCTCTGAATTGATTCAGAGGCTTCTGACTTGATACGAAAAGATTAATGGGTCTCCGGTTCGATTTGGATTTGGGGATTCGGTCACCAAATTGAGCCAAATCTCCTCTGAATCGAATTGGCTACCAAAGCTTCACACAGCCCTACTGCCTGGTCTCCTGTCATGGTTTAGCCTGTGAAAGGGCAACCTCTGGTTCTTTGTTAATGGACTGTACATCGAAGCTAAGGTCTGTGTGCCACGATTGGCAGGAGTGACAGGGAGAAGTTTGTACCTATTCCATAGATAAACAGAAGACTGTTTCCAGTCCTCTCATTCAGCACTTTCCCTGAGCATAACAGAGTCATAGTCATACAGAAGTAGGGCTGGAAGGAACCTCCAGAGGTCCTCCAGTCTAACCCCCTTGGCAAGACAGGTTCATCCTCATCCAAACCATCCAATACAAATCATAATCTAAAATCTAGATAAGACAATTGTCAAAAGAATAATAAAGATTCAAGCATTTAGACTTTACGATGGGCTACATATGTACATGGGCCATAAGCCCACTCACTGAACTGAACAGGAACCTTTTGATTGACATTAAGGTGACCTGGATTGGGCACTTCCTGTGCCTACAGAGAACCTGGTCAATCTTTTAATGGAACCTTGAACAACTTCATCTTTTTAAAAAAACCCATAAAGTTTTAAAAACACTGGAATTACAAAATAACTAAATAGACTGCAGAATACATAATAATTTTAAAGTTTTTCAGTAGTATAACAATCTATATACAATGATACATAAAGTAAATGCATGCTATCAAATAGACAACTCTGAACAGAGAATGGATGAAATATAATAATACTGAATTAAATTAAGGCTTCTTGCTGTTTGGCACTTTTGAAAATGAGTATATTTATCTAGGGGCCTAAATATTGATTTAGGAGAAGAACATTATATACTTATTTTGTCAAATCTTGGTCATTAGATCCTAACAATATGTTAAAAGAATGATATTTAGAGTGTGAAGTCAAGATTTCAACTGCTTGAATTTTCATTCTACATTATGTTCTTTTAAATTCTTTGTATGAAATGTCCTAGGTTTTAAGGTACAAATAAATTTTATTACATGCAACTGTAACAAAGCTTCATCATGCTTCATAAGCAGGGCTGATCTCTGAGCACTGCTGCTCAGACTTTCACCACTTGAATCAAATGTATTTGAGCAGGAGACTGCTATTCTTGAGTGAAAGGCTTTCTACTGGAACTAGATGCATGTCCAATAGTTGCTTTGAGAGATCTTGGCTCACCATATGGGAGTTGAGAGAGCTCCTGCTCTTTGGAATGTGTGCTGGTTTTGGAGTGGATAAGAAGACACCCTCCTGGCTTTTACCCACCTACATTTTCACTACAGCTCTCTTTGGAAGTTCCCAGAGAAGCGTCTGCTTCTGCTGCTTTGGATGTTGCATAGGTCAAGTCATGAAATATTCATGTTCAATCAATATTATGGTAAGCTAACAAGGAATACTAAGGAGAGGGAAAATGGTGATTTTCTGCCATTACTCTCTCAATAAAATCTAAGTATCATCTCATGAAATCAAATAAAAGGTACTTCTCTAATGCAAGGGGTTTTCCCCTTCCACATTTCAAAGACCTGCTATAAATAATAGAGGTGTAATAATGTCTGAAATAGTCACTAAACTCTTTTATAGTAGGACTGCTTAGGCATTCTAAATATACAATGCTCCTGGCAGACATTATTTTCATCACATGCCAGGAACTGAGGACTTTTGTCACTCAGTGAAAATGTTCCTGGCTTGATGTTCAAGGGGCAACAGTGTGAAGGGGATAAAAGCAGCACCAGAGCTTGCCCTGCCAGTGTTCACCAGTTAGAGAAGCTGAAGAGCTACTGCCAGGGGTAGATCCAAGTCACCCCTTCCGCCCCTGCCAACACCTGCTGTGCAGTGAATGTCTCATGTCCCACTGACCACCACTTTTGTCTGCTGTCCCTTATACCCTGATCAATCTGAATCATGACTCTGATGTTCCAGCTTTAAAGATAAACTCAAATAAAAAATAACAAATACATTTAGCTCAGCAGTATGTGCTGAATGTCCCGCTAATTGGTCTGAAGGCTTGGTCATGCATTCTTTGGAAGTTAGAGGGAGTTCTGGGTACACAAGGAATGTGAAACTGGGCCCAAGCAGGATACTCAGCACCCGCAAAAACAGCTGACCATTTTGTCTTTTGTTTTCCATTTCATAATACGATGTCTTAGCCAGCTGGCCTTCATGTGACACCCAGCATGCATCTTACATCAATGCCACCACAGACACTGTGAGGGCCTGGAGCTGGCCTGCAGCAGTCAGATACGCTCTAGGGATTCATAATGCATTGCACAGTTTTGAAAATATTGATTTGATTTGTAACGACTGATGGGCTGACATGATTTGTTGTACTTCCTGAACTAGAATCTTGACATTTGGCATAATCACTCAGCATGGGTCACTGGGAAAAAAAAACAACCTCTCCATCACCTTTCTGTGAGGAAGACACCAAGAGATCAGTTTAACAATTAAAAACATCAATGCTAGTTCCTTCTTAGAGGGAGTTTTGTACTGAGATATATGTGGAATAAACCCAGTGTATCTAGTGAGCCAGGAGCTGCATGTGCTCACCAACAGGCTCAGCTTCTCATTAGTGCTCTCATTACTTCATGTACAATGCCACACAAAAGCTAGCTCCACTAATTCCAGGTCAGAAGGCAGGGCACATGAAACAAGCATTGCATGTCTCTTTACAGTTCCATGGGGCCACTGTAATTGGGCAATAAAGAGGCATCCCAAGTTCCTAACTGTTTCTGTTGTGAAGAAATCTTCAGAAATGTAAACCAAGTACAACTGCTGCAGAGGTGTTTTGGTGAGTCCACAGAGAACCTGGAACAACATCTCTACAAGCAGTGAATTACGCCATTTATCTTAAGCCCCCTGGAGAAGAACCGTACTCGAGGAACTCAGCAGGGCTCAGCAAACAGAATGATCATATTTCAAATGTTTTCACATTTCCTGAGAATGATGTCTTACGTGGGTGGAACTTTGTGAGTGGAGTCCATTAGTGTCACCATTGTTTCTTCCCAGACTTGATGATATTAGTCTATATTAAAGCAGACTATATTAAAGCTTCATACTATATTAAAGTGCATGACTTTCTTCATATTGAATTGATATAAATGTATTTGTGTGTGGGAGGAGGCAGTGTTCATCAGGGACTGGAAAGTTCGTGCCAGGCTATGGAACAACAGTGCCACTGGTCTATAGCTACTCCATTCCCCTCAAACCTTTGAGAATAATGGAAATAGCAGTGGTTCCCCAACTAATGGTTGGGACCATTTGGGGTTGTGGCACTTACAAACAGAGCTGTACCCCCATTCTCCCCCACCAAGTTCAATTACTGTAGATGGACTCAGACCAGGAATGGGGTTCCTGCCCCCAAAGGATTGAGAACTGCTGGGTTATAGGATGCACTTAATGGTCCTTCCCACTGGCTTCTCCGAAGTGGTTTCCTAGTATGGGCTCATTAATCCCTCCAAGCATACAATCCCATAAGCAGCAGAGCTGTACTTAATTCTCTTACATCTTTAGCCCCAGACATGGAAGAAGGGACAGGTTTTGATCCAAAAATCACATCTAGATTATCTCTGCTTAATCTGATGTTGTCACTGAGAAAGCTTCTTTTTTATGTACTGGACCTTGCCTGCTTTGTGCCAGAAGTTGTCTTGTACTTGGGCATGTGGAAGGGAGCAGAGCAAGCTGACTATGGGGGAAAAAGAAGAGGAACGGTGTCTTCACACTGCAGTTCTCTTTGCCTACCCAAAGACCTTTTCCAGAATAATCAAAAAGTTGGTGCACTCTGGAACACAGTGAAACTGCATGTGGTATATTGTCCCTGAGCATGGAATAAACAGCTCTACAATGTTGATCCTCATCCTGGTAGCAATGACAATAACAATAGCAAAGCAAGGACCAATGACAGTACAACAGTATAGGAGCTATTCCTGCCAGGAAGAAGCAAGATTTTGCATTTTGTGGAAAGAAGGCTTCTGCTCCTTCACCGATTAACAGAAGAGTTACCTATATGTAGTTCACGCATGAATCCATAATTTATACTGGGTTGGTTAGTTTTGCCCCTTGTTCTTTCCAAAAGCCACTAATTCCTTTCCACTAATGGGATAGTGTAATGATGGATTTAGGTCTTTTTTAAATCTTGTGATTCTTTGGTGAGAAATTTGGGGCCTCCTTTAGGATCTTCTGTCCAAGATTATATATCATATTTTGAAGACTGTTAATTGTACCTATTCAATTTGCAAAGACAAACACACACTGGAATATTGCTTTAAAAGTAACACATATATTATGATTGTTAAGGTATCGGGAAAGACCCATCAGATGTTATTTACCTGCAAAGAGGTTCTACAAGGTCCTTATCAAGAAAATCATGGTCTGTCTTTACAGCTGCAATGTCAATAGGAAACTGGGAATCTATAAGGGAGACATAACATTAAAGCAACTGCTTATTATTCAAAAGGAAACATACAGCCTATGTTAAAAACATACTGCAGTGTCTTGTCAACAGAAATACAGTCTGACCTATTTCACATGGTTGCTTCTAATGCAATGTCCATGCCTTACTCAGTCATTTCTCATCATTTCATGTTTATTATATTAAAAGTGAAGTTGAAAGATCTGTGCACAAAAGGGGTGGTAACATATCTGAGTTTGTATTGATAAAATGTTAAATTATAAGCTTTTCTTTCTGATCACTGATGGGAAAAAAGTGAGAGCTGAGAATAACTTTAACATTCCCATTTTTCACATAAGAAGCAAGGCTGTCCAATCCAACCCTTATGAGTTAGGGAAATATTTGCTCGACAGATTTTCCCATGAAATAGACTGTTTTGACTTTTTGTTTTTAACATCATTCACAATACCAGAGAGTTCAGATAAAGGGTGATTGAAGTAACAGATGAGAAGAAATGAGCTTAATGTACTATTCACCCCAACCATTAGCTGGAAATTTAAAAACAAAGCTAGAAATCTGGGAGCTGACATTTATAATAAAAAGTGACATGCCCCGACAAATTACTGGGCTCCAGTATAACAGTGGAATGGACTCCAGCATTGTAGTTATACTCCAGATTGTTTTGCAGTCCTTTATGTCCCACAGCAGTCAAAACTGATATAAAAAATATAGCCAACATTTTTAAACACTAAAAACAAGTACCTGAGTCCATTTTCAGATGTCTATATACATGACCTGATTTTCAGAGCTGCTGAGCACCCTCAGCTCATTTTGACTTTAAAGCAATTGTGGATGCCTAGCACAGACCAGTAACTGGAGGGGCTCAAGGGAACATTCCTCCCCACCCTCAACTTCAGGTAAAAAGGTAATATTCTCCCAACTTTGATCTGGAAGAAAAGAAGGTGTGGAAAAGAGGCTAAACCCACCCTCAGGAAGTCTGTGCTATGCAGAAGCAGAGCTAAGCATTCTCACCTTCATACAGACTAGGTAAGAGGAGAAAAGGCTTACACCTCTCTGCTGCCAACTCCAGATTCTGTCATGAGAGGCAGGCAGAGAAAAGAATTCCCCTTCTTCCTGTGGGCTCCACTAGCTCCAACAATTTTGGGGCCAGGGTTTCAATATCCCTTTACTTTTACATGGTTGCTGATATTGGTTTCCACTGAGAGTGGAACAAATATTGAAAGCTCTGGACACTACCAGCTTTGCAGAATGGCTGCATTTTGAAACTCATTTTGCACTTAGTTTGTGTTTTCATTTCCATTTTCTTTCTTGGCTGAGTTTCCCAATCTCTCGTCAGCATGTTAAAATAAACTTCTAACCTTCCTCCTCCTCTTCCTCATTTTTCCTTCATCATCAGCTACTCCTTTCTTGTTCCTCCCCAATCACTGCTCACATTTAAATGTCAGTAGCATAATTAAGGGTCGGCAACCAGGGCATGAGCCCCAGGGACCGAGTAAAAGTGGGCACTGGGATGGAGACAAGGAGATTCCAAGGCTCTGGATGTGTGGAGTGGAACTGATTCAGGAGCTCCCCTCAGGGGATAACACCTATCACAGAATAATAAAATCATAGAAAATTAGGGCTGGAAGGGACTCAGGAGGTCATCTAGTCCAATCCCCTGCTCAAAGCAGGACCATCCCCAACTAGATTATCCCAGCCAAGACTTTGTCTAGCCAAGTCTTAAAAAACTCCAAGCATGGAAATTCTACAACCTCTCTGGGTAACCTGTTCCAGTACTTCACTACCTTCCACATGACAGAGTTTTTCCTAATCTCTAACCCCAACTTCCCTTACTGCAACTTCAGACCACTGCTGCTTGTTCTGTCATCTGCCACCACTGAGAACAGTCCTCTTTGGACTACCCTTCAGATAGTTGAGGGCTGCTATTAAATCCCCTCTCAGCCTTCTCTTCTCTAGACTAAATAAGCCCAGTTCCTTCAGCCTCTCTTCAGAAGTCATGTTCTCCAACCCTCTATTTTTGTTGCCCTCTACTGCACTCTCTCCACTTTGTCCGCATAATTTCTGTAATGGGGGGGCCCAAAACTGGACACAGGACTCAGGTGTGGCCCCACTAGTGCTGAATACAGGGGCAACAGTCCTACGAATGCAGCCCAGTATGCCAGTAGCTTTCTTCATCAACAAGGGCACACTCTTGGCTCATATTCAGATTCTTGTCCGCTGTAACCCCTTGGTCCTTTTCTGCAGAGCTGCTGCTTAGCCAGTTGGTCCCCAGTCTGTACCTGGGCATGGGATTTTTCCATCCTAGTGCAGGACCGTGCGCTTGTCCCTATTGGACTTTATCTGATTTCATTTGGTGCAATCCTCCAATTTGTCTAGGTCTCTCTACATCATAGCCCTACCTTCCAGCATATCTACTACTTCCTGCACCTTGCTGTCATCTGCGAACTTGCTGAGGGCGCACTCCAAACCATCTTCCAGATCATTGATGGAAACACTGAACAAAACTAGTCCCTGCATCAAGTGTGGGGCACTCCACTTGATACCAGTTAGACATTGAACCGTTGATTACTACCCTTTGAGCTTAACAATCTAGCCAGTTTTCTATCTTACAGTCCATTCATCAAACCTATACTTTCTTAGCTTGCTTCCAAGAATGTTGTAGGACACCATATCAAAAGCCTTGCTAAAGGCAAGGTAGATCACATCCACTGCTCTCCCCACATCCACAGAGCCAGTCATAATAGAAGGCAATCAGGTTGATCAGGCCCTTGTTGAATCCAAGCTGACTGTTTCTAATCACCTTCTACTCCTCCAGGTCCTTAGAAATGGAACCCTTGAGGACCTGCTCCATGATTTTTCCAGGGACTCAAGCGAGGCTCACTGGTTTGTAGTTCTCTGGATCTTCCTTCTTCCCTTTCTTAAAGATGTACATTATATTTGCCCATTTCCAGTTGTCTGCGACCTCTTTTGACCACCATGAGCTTTCAAAGATAATGGCTAGCAGGTCTGCAATCACATCAGTTAGTTTCCTCGGCATCTGTGGGTGTGTCCAGATGAGCACGTACATGTGTCTTGCAGTGTCTCAAAGCTGCAAGAGGCACATTTGGGAATGAGAAAATGTCCTACACGCTGCAAATTTGCAGCACAGGGGCAAAATGAGATCCCTGGATATCCAGGGGTCAAAAAAAACTGTACAGTCCTGGACCATGTCCTGAGGCAGTGGGAGGCTGGGTCTTACACAGAGATGCTCTGGTAGCAGCCAGAGCATCTCTATGGCTGGCCCTCACCCTGGTGCTGAAGAACACTACCTGCTGGTGCAGGGCAAGCAGCGTGCCAGCCGCAGGGAGTTGGACCCGGGCTCCAGTGTCGGTAAGTAGGAGGTGGGGGGCTGGAGGAGGGCAGAGGGGACCATGTCCCTTGCTAATTGCAACTGCAAATGCACTTCTTGATTTCATCCCTGCATGTCCAAGAAACACTCTTATACTCCTCCCTAGTCATTTGTCCAAGTTTCCACTTCTTGTAAGCTTTCTTTTTGTGTTTTAGCTCACCGAAGAGTCCCTGCTAAGCCAAGCTGGTCTTCTGTCATACTTACTAGTGTTCCTGTGCATTAGTATAGATTGTCCCTGTGCTCTCAGTAAGGCTTCTTTAAAGTATCACCAACTCTCCTGGACTCCTCAGACTGGCCTCCCAGGGGACCCTGCCATCAGTTCCCTGAGTGAGTCACAGTCTGCTTTTCTGAAGTCCATGTTCCTTACTCTGCTGCTCTCCTTCCTTTCCTTTCTCAGGAACCTGAACTCAGTCATCTCGTCATCACTGCTGCCCAAGTTGCCATCCACTACTACATTTCCCACCAATTCTTCCCTGTTTGTGAGGAGCAGGTCAAGAAGAGCATGGTTCCTACATGGCCTCTTGCACCAAAAAATTGTCCCCAATGCTCTCCAAAAACTTCCCACATTGTCTGTACATGGCTGTATTGCCCTTCCAGCAGATGTCAGGGTGACTGAAGTCCCCCATGAGAACCAAGGCCCATGATCAGGAAATTTCTGCTAGCTGTTTCAAGAAAGCCTCATCCACCACTTCCTCCTGGTCTGGTGGTCTATAGCAGACACCCACCATGACATTACCCTTGTCGCTCTTCCCTCTGACCCTAACCCAGGGACTTTCAACAGGTCTATCTCCAGTTTCATCCTGGAGCTCTGAGCGATCATATAGCTCTTTTACATAAAGTGCAACTCCTCCTCCTCTTCTCCCTCTCCTGTCCTTCCTGAACAGTTTACACCCATCCATGACAGTGCTCCAGTCATGCAAGCTGCCCCACCAAGTCTCTGTTATTCCAGTCACATTACAGTTCCTTGACTATGCGAGGACTTTCAATTCTTCCTGCTTGTTTCCCAGGCTTCATGCAATTGTGTACAAATACCTGAGGTAACTAGCCAATTGCCCTACTTTCTCAGGAAGAATGGGAAGGCCTCCCCTATTGTCCCTTCCTGCTTGTGCTTCTTTCAGGTCATCCAACTTCCCCACTTACCTCAGGGCTTTGGTCTCCATCCCCTGGCAAACCAAATTCAAAGCCTTCCTCCCTAGGTTAGCGAGCCTATCTGGGAAGATCTCATCTCTTCCTAACAATCCTTTTCCTTGGAACAACATCCTGTAGTCAAAGAAGCCAAAGCCCTGCTGGTGACACCATGTGCACAGCTATGCATTGATCTGCAGGATGCAACCACTCCCACCTAGGCCCTTCGTTTTGACTGGAAGGATCAAGGAGAACACCACCTGAGCCCCTGTCCCCTTCACCCCTACACACAGAGCCCTGTAGTCACTTTCGAACCGCTCAGGATCACCCTGGCAGTATCACTGGTGCCCACATGGATGAGCAGCGTGGAATAGTAGTCAGATAGCCAGATTCCCATCTGGCCCTCTCCCATCTGGCTGTCACTGGAAGGAACCTTCAAGCTGCAGTTCCCACAGTGCCAAACCAGGATGTACATGGAAACCTGGACTGTGAGTAGCCCTGCCTAGACAGACACCTCAGAGATTCAAGCAGAGGAAGAACTGGCAGTGGCAGTGGCTCTGGCATTGCAATATCCTCCAGTCATTTCCCTGGGTCTCTTAATCCACTGCCTCTCTCTTCTGGACCCTTTTACTAAGCAGACCTTCCCTAGCAAACTTCCCGGTTAAGATGGCCTGTTCACTGCTCCTTGGACCTGAAAGGTTCCCTTTTCTCTGCTAAGCTGCTTCCTCTCTCCAAGCTTCCAGTGAAGGAAAACGAGAGAGAGTTTCTGGGTAGGTTCCCTACAGAACTCCCCCTTGCTCTGAACTCTACTCAAACAAGGGTCTTAAGTATTGGTTTAACAGCTGACTTTCAGCTACTTGAATTAAATATATGTAGGCGAGTTACTCTTAATTAAAGAAAGCACTTTTCTTACAGGTTCCCCTTCAAAGCTGGGGGTGGCAAACTGACCTGGAAACTGACTTGTAAACTGCCCAGGTCACTCACACACTGGTCACTTGGGGAGTCTCATTTTATACCTTGCTGGTCCTGAACTGGCTCCACCCCCTTGTTAGGGCTTTTGTCAGACACAGGCAGCAATCACCCAGCAATCACCCAGCTGGCACAAATCCCAGCTGCTCAGAGAACACGGTCAAACACAGTCTACCAAATAAACATTCAGCAAGCCAAGCACCAGACAGTAATGAGTCTGCTGGCCAGGGTGCCTCTGCTAAATGTTATACCCCATGTTATATTAAAATATGTAAATAAATTATGCCTAGATTTAGGCCTTCCTCCTAAAAAAATCCCTGTTCATGGGAAAGCCTCTATATGAAGAGCGCAACTGAACTGAACAAACAGGGTGTTTGGTTCAGCACTGTCAACCCCAAGCATTCAAAATCACAAGTCAAGCCCTCAAACTCATGAAAAAATTATTAAAATTGCTTTTGGGTCCCTTTTAACTCATCTGGTTTGTGAAACTTTGAGGCTCGCAGAGGTCACTGTAGGTGAATCTAGATGTGCGCTTTACTGGAACATTGACTAATTAGCTCCACAGTCAAGTGTCCCCATCTGCTGGTATTAGGATGCAGCAAACTAACTCTGCTGTAAGATAGCATTAAGTTTGATTAAACACGTGTGTAGATGATGACCACCAGGTGCAAACTGTGCCCAGGCAGTCCGGCCAGCCACGGGACAGACCCACAGTTCCTGCCAGCCCCTCTGCTGTCTGATGCTGTCACCCAGAGCCTGGGGCTGATTCCCCATGACCAGCCCAGACCCATGACCAGCCCAGGGTGCTCCACCCTGGCTCAAATTGCTGCTGTCCCAGGTGCACATGTAAACAGTGCACCTGGGAGGGGCGTACTCTGGCTCAAATGGCTCTCAAGTTTATTGTGTTGCATTAATTGCATGTGTAGATGCACCCAGTGTCAAGCTTTTCTCCACAACATGAAGACAAGAAACTCACTTTTTAGAAATGAAATTAGAGATGTTTATGTACTCATTTGACTCTAGGAATGAAAACTTTCAGAAAATCAGTTCCTGTTGTTTACAATACCATCATGTGAACTGACAACACTATAGCTTGTAAGCTGTGCAGGCTCGGAGTGTGTAATGAAACGCATGGGACACTTTAGGAGTTATAACAATAGAAATATCCACAACAACCTACCTTCATAGAGATGAGCATATTGTGGAAATCCAGCAGCTCGTAACCAGTCACACGTTTCCTTTGCTTCAATTTCTGAAAAGCACAAGAAAGGAAAATAGGTTTATCCTATACATGTTTTGCTATTTTGCATCAGAAGTTATTTTAAATACACATAAATAATGAGACTTAATTTAATAACAGATGTTGACCGTACTAAATCATCATTCAACAAGTGCATTATGGGGCATCTGTTAAACAGGTGGCTATGAAACAAGCCCACCTGCCTCACAGGAATAGTGGAATTTGCACCACCCTTTGGAGATATCATATGCAGTAGGATGGATTGTCACCCTTAGGTCAACATTAGAAATGACCATCATATATGGGAGGTTTGCTCAAGC